AAAACGTTATTGGTTGAAATGCTCTGATATTTACGAAATTTCACAGCAAATAAGAATTTTAAAAGCGTAACTCTATTCGTTTATTAAATTATTCGATTCAATCAAATCGTAATGTTAAGAATTGTCTTTTCTCCGACTATTATTCATCTCGTTAATTTATGGAATCATGCTATTTAAATACTTTAATTTATTTCAATTCCCAAAATAATCAGCCAAATTCACTAGATATTTCGATCAAGAAAATACTTTCCTAGTGCTTCCGTTTCCTTTTCTTAAACCTTTAATAACACATAAGCAGTCCACGACATTATAATCCCGCTCCGATTCCGGAGCCATTTTGGGCCCTTTACAAATTCGATTCGTCTGACAGAAGCATTCCATGTTTTAATTTTTTTTCCATATTCTTACTTTTTGTGTATTAAATGTCCCTAAATTTTTAAAATATATTATTATTATAATTCTAATATATAATAGTTAATTATTATAATGTTTAGTAGAATAATTTAGCTCATTAAATATTGTGAACACGGACATATTGATAAGTTTTCCAGCGACAGAACATTAAAATTTTTAAATGGTTGTTAAAAAAAGAGAGTGTTAAAAAGAATCTAAATGTAAGCATCCAAAAAATTCATATAAAAAAATAATAAGGATCATTTCAATTACATTGTAATACCTTACATATTTGATAAAAATTTTATTTGTAAAAAAGGAAAAGGCAAGGGACGAAAATGGCGGTAAAAACGTCTTGCTCTTTATATTGTAAAAAGTCAGGTGTTAGTTGCCACGATTTTTGGCGATGAGGCAAACTAAAAACATTTTTAAATACAAAACTATCGTTATGGTGCAAAAATTACATGAAATTGACAAAAAAAAAACAATTGTTTGAAAGAATTAGTGCGGATTTTTTAACGAAATGGTTTTGCAATGAAGTTATAAATTTATTCAAACGCGCCCTAAAATATTTATTGTCAGTAAAGAAACAAACAAAAAATGTATAAAACTATAAGAAAGAAAAAGTAAATAAAAAATGTTACTACATGCACTGTAAAAATTTTTAGTTTTCCTTAACAGCAAAAATGGTGGCAACTATAAGCCAAAACTTTTCAGTATGCATAAACGAATTTAATTCAACCAAACTTCTTTAAAAAAAATGAAATTATCTGAAATTTTTTTTAAATGCAGTAAAAGTTCGATATTACGATTTCTGCATATTTCGAGAAGTAAGCTATAACGACAAATTTCGAAGTCAGGCTCAATATATTAATAATAAAGATACAAAAAGTTGTATGTTTATAGCCAGTTCAAAATTACTAGCCTTCTGCTAATACACAATTTTTTTACGAAAATACATTTTCTTTTGCTGAGAAAGACATTTTTAGATATTTCTGGTATTTATTCAGAAAAGCTAAAAACTATTATCGTTTTATTCTTACAATTTTACCCCTTTGTTTTCATAAAGCAATGTGTGAGCAACCATCAGCAATGTTTCGAACAAAAAAATTTCTTTTGCTATTCTTAGAAATCCTGCAACATTTTATAAGAATGCAACTTTATTTGACTACATACCTTTGCAATTAAATTCAACATTCCCAGTTATCAAATGACACCAAAAGATATTGCACACCGTTTCATTTTCCTCTTTCAAAAACTTGATTTATTGTTCTAACATTTCTGATTTTCAAAAATTATTACATAATTCAGTCCACAATTTGTGGGCAAAAGCAGTCTAATCTAGATAGGTATTTTAAATCAACAATAGTTGCTCAAAATAAAAGAAAAAAAGGTATATTAGGCTAATTCTTTTTTTAAAATCTTTTTATTGCTTTTTTTAACATTAAATATGCCGATTTGATTATAAAGACAATCTCACTATAACGACGGTTTCATCTGCCATTATGAATTGCCGTTATAGCGAACTTTTACAGTACTTGTGGCTTTGAATAAATTTATTTGGACACATCATAAATTTGCTTTAAGATAAAAAATTACGCACAAAAAAAAACGCCAGCATAAGTTTAAAAAAATTCTTTCATCAATTGTATTCGTTACAGTGTTATCAAAATTTATCTACAGCTTACTTGTTTGAGTGTTTTGGTAGCTGTTCAAAAGATAAAAAATATCGCACGAAATGAGACTCAGTTGGATGACAATTCTATTTCAAGGTAAGAAAAAAAGGATTAAATAAAAAAATTCCATTAACAATCGTCAAACGTACATTCATGCGTGATATTTGCAGGAAGTCTATTATATCTATCTTTACACATTATAAAAGATTTTTAATCATAGAATCGTTACTATAAACGATTTCTTTTCCTTCAACTTGTTTCAAAATGGCGAACAAAATTTTTGAGTTGATCATCCATAAATGTGATGATCAAACAGAAGTATAACATTTCGGGGCATTAATTCATTCATAAGTGATTCAGCAAAAGTTTAACCTATTTCTAAACTTGGATTGTGTACTTATCTTAACGCTTTCGGGCACAGTGCTGTCAGTCTGGGAAAATACAATCCAAAAATGTTACAAACCATTATAAAACTATTTGTTTCCAAACGTTCGACAATTTTTAGCTACCACCTAGCTTAAAGCAACCAAGAAGACTTCAATAAAAAGGACTAAAGCAATTTCAATAAGAGTACACAGTCTGAATTCATAGCTTGCCTGACTAAAATTTGCTTTTCCGAAAAGGGTTCATCACCCATTAATTTTTTTTTCATTACTTTCACTATTACGCAAATGCAAATTAAATTAGCTAAATCCTTTCTAAGGTCGTGGTTGGTATATTTATCACAAATTTTTAAATATCCATGGTAAACTATTTTACCAGTTTTAATTTGTTACCATTAAGAACTTCAACGATGATGAAATATACTTTAATACACATAAGTCAATTTTATCGAATTCATTTATTGGTGCTGATGTGTTCTTACTAAGGTAATAATGCTTTCGTATTTTCTGATTAAAAAAAAAGTTGAGAATTTGCCGATTTAAATAATAAATACTTTTGTATTAATAAAAGAATTAAAACTCTTTCGGTTTCATAAAATGTCTTTGTTAAAGAGTAAGCGTAGAGATATTCTATTTGGGGAATTCAAGGCTGAAAATATACCATTGAATAATAATTAGATTTATATTTCCAAGGAGGAGTTATTTTTAGAATCTTGTCCCCCTTTTACTTCCATATTAGGAAGCATTAAATACTTTTCCATAATGCATAGAGTTACAAAGGTATGTACGACTAGAACCTAATTACATCATTCTCTGTAGTATTTAATGCGGGACCGATGGTTTTCGCATGTCTCTTGCTGAATAACGTGTTCCAATAAACATCTGTCGGAACCATCCGCAGTTTCATCCACACCCCCTCCCTTGTGGAGTGGGGATGTGAACTGTTATATCTACCAGCATAACTTTAAATAAATCTTTTTATAACGTATTATTGCTTTTGACTGCATTATTAAAGATGAATACAACAATGATAACAGGGATGTAGCCCTGTTATTATATATATATATATATATATATATCGCATTGTATTTAACGTCAATATATATATTTTATTTTTCAAAGAAATTTTAAACAATAGCTTCATTTCATCTCCAAATGCGATACAGCTAATAAAAACAGTTTTGAAATTGAAACTACATAATGATTAATGATCATCAATTCATGTACTATATCAATATATGACGTNCGCAGTACAATACCTTTAAAAATGGATGGAACATAAAGGGATCACTATATTAGATATGATAAATAGAGCTTGATAATGTTTAGAACTTCTATGGATACAGTTTAAACTGATGAAAATAGATTTGGGTAACACTTAAAAATTCTTGTGAAATAAATTGCACCACGAGAGAGATATTTATCGAAAATCCAAAACTAGACAAATGCACACTGTTTAACTACCATTCGCCAACCGATGCGGAATGCATGGTAGTATTTTTAAAATTTTGTCGGAAAATTTTTAAAAGAATATCAAAAACCGCATATTTTTAATCTCAAATTCTAATTAGGTGACAGCCTTGTATTTTACATGTATCGAAAGGTACTGTCGAGTAGCTCAAAAATCCACCATCCGTTTATTTGTGAAAATTAAATAAAACAGACTAAAAGCATATTCAAAATTTTCCCTCATAGCATCCACCCTATAATGATTAAAAAAACTGTTTTGTAAGTGATTTTTTTTTTTCGGAAACTTTTTAAATTTTCTTAAATATCGAAAAAAGAATAGAATATTTAATTAAACCAATTGAGACAGGAAAATCCAAGTGGTATAGTAAAATTGGTAGTTACGCGAGTGAAATATGTTGATTACACTATTTTTATACTTTACCATCTAGCCAGCTGGCTATCTGCATATGGGCTACGGCGAAATATCCTGAAGGCGAAATGACAGGAAAATTGATCGTAAAATCCCACCTTAAACCTTATTTTGACTTTTTTTTTATGTAAGAGATTTATTTTTTAAAAAAAATGACTGTATATATGTATATAAAGGTTTATATGTATTAGATGTCCTTCAGTTCTTTTGGTTTATAATTTTACGTTGAAAAAAACTTTCACATTCTTAGAAAATTATTTAGCAATCAAAAAAGTGATAATTAGCGATATTTTATCAGAACTGTGACATTTTATCTTCGCAACGAAATTAATTAAAGTAAGCAGGTTAATTTTAACAATTATTTTTGTTATAAATTGAATTTATTGGAATACTTCATTAATTAATTTGATTCGATGTATCGAATTAATATGCATTAAGTACTTCAAGTTGCAAACAAGTCAATATAAAAATGTCATTTACCAACAAAAATTAACTTGTTTCCACTCTGCTCCAATTCTCTAAAATTCGAATTGGTAATTAATTGAAACTAGTTTTAAATCAAAACTAAATTAATTCGAATACAAGACAAACTAATTTGATTAGACGTATTCAATTAGCATAAACTAATCAATTCCTCACTATTAAAACGCATAATAGAATGTTCTTTACCTTCCAAAATTATTCTGTTTCCAACCTTCTCCAGTTTTCCAAAGAACGCATCCATGCATTTGACCAGACACAGCCACGTGAGTGACCCTTACCAAAGATTCTTTAGGCAATCTGGATAAACAAAACTGGAGTGCTGTACAAATTTTATGGACATCCTGCTCACTGCCCAATGGTCCCAAGTCGCTGACCATCGAAGATTTTGTTTCTCGGGATGCTGATTGCTCTACCTGTCCACCAGACGATACAAGACATACTTTAATGGTGGTGGTCCCGATATCAATTCCAAGTACCAAATTTTGCTGTTCTGAAGACATTATCGGCTACTAAAGGCGCCGAAAACACGACTACCTTGTAGCGATTTTTAAAGAGAGCGCTTAGAAAACACTTTATCGACCGCGCTGAGTGTCGGAAAGTTGCCCGCGGGATGAGGTGTTTCTTGCAGCGGTGTCTGTCGGATCGAAGTGGGCTTTTGGCAGGGTTACAAGAAACAACGAAATTCGCCAAGGTTACTATCAAATGATAAAAATTGCATCAGATGACATTTTCTACTTTTCTTTTTTCATGAAATTGTTGTTTCCGTGTTTGAAGCTATGGATTAAAAAAAACTAAATGTATTAAAATGTTTCCTTTTTGTAGCTAAATTTACCCCAATTATTTGGAATTCATTAAATTTAAATAAAATATTCATGATGGTTTCTGCTTGATATTGCTTAAAATATAGGCAAAAAAAATATTTTAATTATTATGCCTTAAACCGATTTTATTCGAAAAAAAAAGCTTAGATTTTGATGTTAAAACATAAAGACAGACTCAACGAAAGTGTAAAAAAAAATTTTTTTTTGCATTTTGAAAAAAAAAAAAACTATACATTTAAAAAAAGCGATCTTAAATTTAAAAAAAAAATACTTTAAAAAAATGTAAATTAAAAGATGTTATATTGTGTTATTTTTATAAAGTATTTCATTATTTTAAGAATGCTCAAATTTTATTAGATTTCTATATTTTCTAAGAAAATAGGCTGGTGAAATTCTTATTTTAGGATTAAGTACCGCGTCGTTTTTCTTGTATATACTCGTACACAATTTAAAAAACAAAAAAAAGTAGGCTTTATGCTCAAAACAATCATAGTGTCAGGCTTTTGACCACGGTCCCATTTCAGTGATAATTTCAAAAGATGAAAGCGAAGAAAGAAAAAATTTCGAGCGATATATTAGATAATAAAAATCGAACTCAAATTAAACTCAATAATTTATGTCACCTCGTACTATATAAAAATATAATCGATCAGATAAAAATTTAAATAATGCCCCTGGATATGATTAACAAAGGTCAATCTTACGAGGAGTCGAAATTTTGCATTACTTTTTAAAATTCAAATTAATGTACAATTTAAAAAGGATAAATTACATTTCTTTTTACTTTTAACGTTTTGTATTTTACAGGATAATTATAAGTCTATAAAATGAATAACTCTAACAAAATAATATCGATTGATAGATACTTGAGAAAATACGTTAGTACCTAAGGACGAAAATGTTATACTGATTTACTAACTTTTCCCTTTTTTTATTATTTATTTGAAATGATGTACAAATTTGAAGGATATAAATGTCCTCTTTTTAAAAGCATTAACGAGTTTGTTTTTCTTAATATTTGTGTATTTTATTTCATACGATGTCAATAATTATAAGTTTTCAAAATAAACACTTGCATAAAAGTAACATTAACCAACATGCAGTTTAGAAAATACGTGAGTAATTGAGAAAGAGGGGTTCGAGATTCGTGCATTTTTGCTCACTGAGACACGGCTTGTATAAGACACAACAAAATTCCTTTTATTGTCAAAAATCTCTTATAAGTAATAAAATCAATTAAAATTTTAAAAAAAAACGAATTAAAAACGAAAACAGAACATTTTAGCAAGGTGCTCTCGACACAGAGGAAAGCAGTTCAGAACTACCAAAAATATGTTAGATTATTAATTTAAAATCCGTTGTGTTAAAATGTTTCAGTAATAAATTAGTAAAATATTTAGTAATAACAGCAACTTACTAATGTCTAAACGTTTCCAATTTTAATTTATTCTAAAACATTTGTGATCTACTTATTTCGATTTATTATTATTTATGTAAAAAAATTGCTCATTGAACAAAATAAACATTACGAATTGCAAGCTCGGCAGCTTCCCAACCCCCACAATTTGCTAAGCAATCATTTCTGTTTCTTGACAAAAAACAAATTGTTATGCCAAAATTAAAAACTATTAAATTTATTTATTTATATTTTGGTTTAAATTTATTTGCTTCACAGATTTATATCCCTATTCTATAAAGACAAAATACTCTATGAAGATAAATTAACACTGAAGATAAAATACTCTAGATAAATTATTCTATTCTGATAAGAGTAACTTCAAATTCGTAATGGATATTTGGCTATTTAAAAACGCGTCCCATGTTTAGCACCAAATGGCAATAGCACGAAAAATTATTTCCTAATATTGCTTTAAAATTTTAAATAATTATTTTCGTAATTTTGACTGCAGATCTTGACTCAAAATCGCTTTACATAAAAATTAGTATAACAGTAAATGTAACTTATTTACCATTCTATAACTGTAAAGCGGTAACTAAACATGTTTATCCTAAAATGTTGCGTAATAAGTTTCGGCAATTTGTTTCACAGATTTATATCCCTATTCTATTAAGATAAAATACTCTAATTATTCTATTCTGCTAAGAGTAACATCACAAACTTGTTTTGGTTCAATTCGTAGTTGATATTTGGTTATTTTAAAAAGTCGTCCAATGTTTAGCACCAAATGGCAATAGCACGAAAAATTAATTCCTAATATTGCTTTCAAATTTTAAATAATTATTTTCATAATTATAACTGCACATCTGGACCTGAAACCGTTTTACATAAAAATTAGTGTAACAGTAAATATAACTTATTTACCATTCTATCATTGTAAAGCGGTAACTAAACATGTTTATCATAAAATGTTGCGTAACAAGGTTAGGTAATACCGCACGTTTTTACTTTTAGTATTAAACTTTGAATCATAATTAAAATCAAAAACGTAATAATGCAGAAAGTAATATTAAGAATGGATTACAAATAAAAATTACAAGCAACTATCGTTAAATAAAAGATGAATATATAATTTCAAGCTTATAACTAAAAATTTCAAGTTAATGACAACTAAAAATGTTCTATGATGATTTATAAATCTAAGAGATTATCGGTCTAGTGATGAATGCACGCACAGCAATCAGAAACGGTTTTAAAGACAATTATTTTAAACATTAAGTAAAAATATAAATGTATTTTGAAACACATTTGAAAGCACAGATCACAATTTTTAAAAACATAAACATTTCCTTGTAATTTAATCACGAATTACGTGTTGACGTAATTCAAAAGTTTATTACACAATTTCTTTCGTTTTCCTAATAGATTTATAGAACAATAACAGCTTTTATTTAAAAAAAAAATCCTGTTCTGAAAGCGGATAAATAGAATTTATATTTCGGAAATATTTACCGTCTGAGGAATTAAATTACAATCATTTTCATCAAAGGTATGAGGATTCATTTTTTTTTCCAAAAGAAAAAAAAATTTTGATGCTTATTTTTGAGTTAACTTAAATATATTTTCGTTTTTTATTTCCCACCACCTCAGCTTTTGGTGCTATAAAAAGTATTTCATGTTAAGTAAATTTTAAGTAATGTTAAGTAAAAAATAAATTATTTAGCAAAAATTAAGCTGTAGTCAAACATAAAATAAACATATAACTCTCATTAGGTACAATCTACGTGGTGTTTTCACTACAGCGCGAGAACGCGAGAATCTCGCATATTTGTTTCTTTTCTCGCATTAAAAAATTATTACCGCGAGAAATTCGCGCATTCTATAAATCAATTTCAAAATTCACGAATTTCTCGCATTTTGGTAAAAACTTCGAATTACGCCATTTAGAATAAAATCCGTTTATCTTTTCTTCCTGGATCTTTCATTATTTTCAACATCTGCCCCATTATCTAGCTTCCCTATTTACCAGTATTGTTCAGAACCTCTTCGAACAACAGAACACAACCATGGAACCCCTTTCAGAATACATTTCTCTGCAACCACGCGTTTACCGTAGGTAAAGTTTCTTCATGTCAAAATTTTCATGCACTGATGTAAGATGGACAAATACCTTGTAAAGGCAAAATCTTCTATGATGATGCACCAAAAATATTCAATGCTTTAAAAAATAGAAGACGTTAACAATGTATTATAATTAAAGAAATGATTTTTTTTTCAAGAGTTTTTGTTATTTTAGAAATCTCACTTAACTTTTTGAAATCTCACCCTGTTTTTGAGAAAGGGTAAGAAATTCTCACCCATTTTTTTTTCTATGATGAAAACACTGAGTTATACTTAAATGTATATTTAAGGATTTAGGTCACTTCTTCGAAATGTTCTATCACCTATATAAATAGTTTAAAATTTATACAAGTATAAAAAAAATTGAGGTCAGGTAAACCTAACTAAAAATTTTTTTCAAGATATCAAATTGAAAAAAATAACAGAATTACGCAATGAAGTAAACCAGTCACAATTTGTTTGCATTTTGATATTTTGGAAGGAAAAAAAATCAATATATCAAACATTAACTCTGGTTTTACTGAAATTTACTTTTATCTAAAATTTAAAGTCCCATTGAAGGTGAAACAGAATTTGCCATAAAGTTTTTCCCACGGTTGGGCATCCTCTTAAAACGTGCCTCATTTTTTTTTTTTTTTTTAAAAAAGCGTTCCCAAAGACTTATGCTCTATTTTTTTTCGTAGTCCGCCAAAGATTTCTAAAATGAAGCATCGAAAAAAACACTTTTGAAGCAATCTAAACGAGAACAGCGTAGACTGTCTTCAAATTCCGGTTGGCATTCTTTCCCGATTGTCTTCAATTTTAAACTCTCTATTTAAAATTATATACTTTATAGATTCTAATCATAATCACTAAAATACTTCAAATGTAAATTAATATACAGTGTGCAAAAAATAAACGGACCACCCAGCATAACTTACTATCTAATAATTGGATTTTTACGCTCTACGACTCAATCGAAAGAGTTCGAAGAGCTGACTTCAAACATGCTAAATAATTAAGGAAAATGATATTTTAAGTTATGAAATCATACACAAAAACTTACCTTCTTTTAATAAACATACCTTTTTTTCGATGAATTTAGATTTCTGACCCCCAAAATATAGGAGGTAGCAGCATAATCTTATCTCAAAATATCAATTTTTTTTAATCATAACTTTTAAACCGAATAACACATAACTGACATATACAGTTTGTTCAAACCAAGTAAATTTTATTATTTAAAATATAGTTAAAGAATAAATTATTATTTTTTAAGTAGATTCGCTATACATTTTATTTAAACACACAATTGTCATGCATACAGTTTCCATAACTAGACCCTCAAAAAAAATTTATTAGAACACGATATTTCTAAAATTTTGATAAATATAAAAAAGTTGTAAGAATTTAAAGTAATGTAATCACGCAAAATGCAAATTATGCACAATGCAACAATTCTAAAACTTTAAAATAATTTTTGCGTGACCTTTATCGTTAACCATCCAAGTTAGAAAAACAATTTTATATAATTTGGTTTTTAAAAGTCGAAATGTAATGTAATTTACCCATCCATTCAACAAACACATTTTGAGAAATAAACAAGAAATTGAATTCAAAACTCATTTTAAAAAAGCTCTGAAAAAGACACTAAAGAACAATTTATTTTTATTGATCAATACAAAGATTTTTTTTTGATGATCACAACAGGACACTTCATGGCTAAAGTTTATGATGTATCCAAAAATCTTAACATATATTTTACCAATGAATTAAACGTGATTTTCAAGAACTGCACATTTAGCTACATTATCTATTCGATTATTCATCAGAAATTTCAATTTGATTTTACATGTTGTTAATTTTATAGATTGTCTATAGAAGAAACTCCCTTTAGAAGAAACAAAATTTAGTAGGCTTAACAAAGAAACTAGAAATATTGCATTTAAAGAAAGAAGAGAGCATCTTTGTCCCCTGATTTCCTTTCTCTCCCCGAGCTGAGCCAAAAAACCTGTCTTAAATTATGACCCAACACACCTACATGAAACCCCTTTAACCATAGTCACCACTTTTCCATAGTGAATGGCAAGGGAAGTTCTTTCCATAAACAAACTATATGCTTTACATCAAGTCTCTTTATTTTACATTTAAAAAAAAGTCATTTGGTATCACATATTAAGTTATTCATTCTCATAAAATTTAAATTCACATAAAGGTCATTTATTCAAACTTATTTCAATATCAAGAAAATCAATATATTAAACTAAGAAGGATTTCAATTAAATTTATAATCTACAACAAATATATTATCCTTTTTTTTAGGTATTTAATCTAAAAGGTCAATCATAAAAAAATGTAAAACAGAAATACAGTCAAACCCCCGCTATAGTGAACCTTCAATGGACCGAAATTTCGGTTCACTATAACCGGGAGTTCACTATATCCGTTCCTCATGCAATTTTAACTAATGGTTCCGAACTCCTTCCTTTTATTATACATTTAAATAAATGATCAACAAAATGAAATACAAAAATGACTGAAAAATAATGTGTAGTAACAAAAAATTTGTTAACTTATTTTTATTTTTTATTACTCTTCGCCTTGTGTACAAAAAAAAATTAGTAATCTAGCTGAAGCGAAGCTTATTCAGGGAAAATTTTGTCCATACATCTGCCTGAATTGGGCTTTATTTAGGGATGGGAAAGTGAGACATAAGGAGCAAACAAGAAAACATGCTTATTGCTACATTCCACTCTATAGAGGGTTTTAAAAATCAGTATAAGTATTTATTTTGAAGTAGACATTTTAAAATTATTACAAAAAATGAAGAAAAATCATTTGAAGTCAGAAAAAAGTTCATAATATCCAACTTCCTCACTTTTTTGGTTCACTATATCCACAAAAAATAACATTATACATGTATAGCAAGGCACGGGACCGAACATTTCGTTCACTATATCCGGGAGTTCATTATAGCGGGGTTTGACTGTATCAGCAAATAAATAAAAACTAATTCCACTCAGTTTGATTTATCAGTTAAGTGCTCACCTACTGACCCGTGTATTTTTGAACTGGAGATTTTTCAGGAATAAATTAAGTTTATAGTAAGCATCTTAGCATTCTTAGTGAAAAATTCTTTCAGAGAATGATATGTTTTGTTTGAAAATTAGAGATAATTTCTTTAAGAAATATATGATTGAAAAAGTTACACTAAAAAATAATCATTCTTTCCAAATCTTGTTAAAATTGAAATNTGATTCAGGGAAAATTTTGTCCATACATCTGCCTGAATTGGCCTTTATTTAGGGATGGGAAAGTGAGACATAAGGAGCAAACAAGAAAAGATGCTTATCGCTACATTCCACTCTATAGAGGGTTTTAAAAATCAGTATAAGTATTTATTTTGAAGTAGACATTTCAAAATTATTACAAAAAATGAAGAAAAATCAGTCAAAGTCAGAAAAAAGTTCATAATATCCAACTTCCTCACTTTTTTGGTTCACTATATCCACAAAAAATAACATTATACGTGTATAGCTAAGCACGGGACCGAACATTTCATTCACTATATCCGGGAGTTCACTATAGCGGGGTTTGACTGTATCAGCAAATAAATAAAAACTAATTCCACTCAGTTTGATTTATCAGTTAAGTGCTCACCTACTGACCCGTGTATTTTTGAACTGGAGATTTTTCAGGAATAAATTAAGTTTATAGTAAGCATCTTAGCATTCTTAGTGAAAAATTCTTTCAGAGAATGATATGTTTTGTTTGAAAATTAGAGATAATTTCTTTAAGAAATATATGATTGAAAAAGTTACACTAAAAAATAATCATTCTTTCCAAATCTTGTTAAAATTGAAATCTAAAGAAAAGGACAGCATGTATGAATGATTGACAGTGTAAAACTAAGAACAGATGGCACTAGGGGTTAAAATTCGTTGCAAGACTTCCTGGTTATTACTTCCGATTGATTTTTACGCCTAAACTTGGAAAATTCACCATTCAATATAATTATACTTGTAATGTTTTCAATATAACGCGTTCTTTCAATCTAACTTTTGACCAAACAAACAATAAATGAATTGGGAAGACTCCGCAAGCATGCTGTGAAGCTACCCCAAAACAGCTATCACTGCACACTTACGGAAGAAAATGCTCTTCGTGCGAGCTTGCAGGCATTGATGTACTATTTGAGAGCAATGCTCAACATCGCGCATATAGACAGCAATGTTAACAATACATCGGGAAATATCATACACATCTCGGTAAATCACAATTTCCGATGCTTCAAAAAATTGGCAATACAAACATCGGATCAGTGATGATTACATAGAATCAATATTTCCAATTCATCAAATTATCGCCCAGTCCTACTTGTAACCATAGTCACAGACAGAGCTCCATAGAACTGGTTAGGAGAGTTCTCTAATTGTTTGCATTGCACGACATTTACAGTAAGACAGTGCCATACTTACTAAATTATGAAGATTTTTTGAATCGGGAAATGCTTGCGCCCATTGCAATCAATGAAATTGCCTAGTTGTTCAACATGGTGGCATTTCCATATCGGTACCTGTTACTGCCAATTACAATCACCTAGATGCCAAAGAGTTTTAACATGCAAAATTTTAAAAAGAAACATTTAGTGGTTAGCCAGAAGATAGCCATCAATTACACTCTTCGAGTTTGTCAGAATCAGTGATATATAGTACATAAGAATTTTTTAGGTTCTCACAGACTGCTACCTAGAAATCGACAAATCTTAGTGAGGAAGCTGTGGTGGCGCAGGGAGTACAGATTGAAGGGATAGAGCCTCCTAATGAGGTGAACCAAGTGCGAATCCCAGCGATGGCTGGTCGATACGAATTTCACACCTCGCTCGCTCCGATTACAGGCTGACGTAAAATATTTTTAGTGGTAGACGGATCATGGGTTAAAGTCCCCTTGTCATCAGGCTACCAGTGGGAGGTTTTTGTGGTTTTCCTCTTCTTGTCGGTTAGTTCCATTAAAAAGCCCGCCACAAAAGGAAAATTTCTCCCAATACGATATCCAAGAATTCCTTTGTCTCCTGGATTAGAATCAAAATTACATGACTGTGGAACTGAACATTGGTAACCATAAACTTAAATTTGGATCGGCTGTTTAATGACGGTTATGAAATAAAATGAAACCCTAGTTATTATTTTGTCCTAGGTACAATTACGGAGAGCTTTCCATTGAATTGAAAAATATTTCATGAAAAATGTTTATTCGCTTACCTATGTTGATTAAGCAGTTTATAAGTTTGTCCCAATTTTGTTTTTTTCTTTTGGATTTTTGCCATGTATCTGCCCGGAAGTCAGAAAAACGTGATGATTATTTTGCATTCGGAAATCTTGTTTAAATTTCGCAACAAAATATTAATATTCCATAAGAAAATTATGCTTATAACAGTTCACTTAACGATTAAATTTTTGAAGGTGAGATTAGATTACTTAATTAATTTTACCAGAAACTTTCAATAATTGATAATTATGGGACGCAATTAACATGGGATATCACTTAAATAAGAATAAACACTGCTGTTTCGGTCAATTTACCTCCATTATTTTAAAATTTATTTGTCCTTTTTCTCTACATTTTTTCTGTTATTGTAGCTGTACTTTTGTATCTGTAGTGCATTTTTAATTACAAACCAAAAGATGGTTGATGTAACATCTCTGCAGTACATTTTAACAGTTGCAAGATAATAAAATTGTAAGAACATCGAAGGAAAATGATTTTTACCAGTACAAGTAAGATAATTTGGAGAAATGAACTTTCGGAAAATAATAAAAACGTCTAATTAGAATGAAAAAACTTGTTCGTTTGTGTATAAGACTTTCTTCAGTAGATTAGCGTAGAAAAAAAGCAGTTTGCTTACTTTTGTGATTTATCGGTCACCAGTCATGTTGTGGCTGACTATTTCTGTTTAGTTATATAACTATACAATAATATCTTTTTATTATATTTTCAATTTTTGTTTAGGCGTTGGTTTTGTCGTTTAAATGAAATTTCCTTCTGAGGTTTAATAGTTGTAGAAGCTTACAATTTACAAAGCTAAAAGTGTATCGCTTTCCCAAAAAAAAATTTCATTTTTTGCTTAAAAACAGTAAATTCTAATTTTCGTCTTATTTATTATTCTTTTCTTGATCTTAAAACCTAAGAAATTTTCTGTTATCGTTATAATGTCTATTGGATCAATAAAATCCAGCCCAAACGAACTTAATGCTCTTCAAAATTACGCAAATGAAAGCGGAACAAACAGTTATAAATCGTCTGAAGATAAGATTGATTGGTTAATAAATCTAAGCAACCCTGTGTGTACTTTTTGTGACAAGAAATTCGCTTCTAAGCATTCTCTTGAGCTTCATTTTGCTACTCATACAGGAGATAAACCATTTTCTTGTCACATATGTAATAAACGATTCACTCAGAAAAGCAGTTTACAAACTCATTCCTTAATCCATGAAGGCAAAAAACCACACGTCTGTGAGATATGTTACAAAAGTTTTACTGATAAAAGTACATGGCGAAAGCATTNATTTTCAATATTTGTTTAGGCGTTGGTTTTGTCGTTCAAATGAAATTAATTCTGAGGTTTAATAGTTATAGAAGCTTACAATTTACAAAGCTAAAAGTGTATCGCTTTCCCAAAAAAAAAATTTCATTTTTTGCTTAAAAACAGTAAATTCTAATTTTCGTCTTATTTGTTATTCTTTTCTTGATCTTAAAACCTAAGAAATTTTCTGTTATCGTTATAATGTCTATTGGATCAATAAAATCCAGCCCAAACGAACTTAATGCTCTTCAAAATTACGCAAATGAAAGCGGAACAAACAGTTATAAATCGTCTGAAGATAAGATTGATTGGTTAATAAATCTAAGCAACCCTGTGTGTACTTTTTGTGACAAGAAATTCGCTTCTAAGCATTCTCTTGAGCTTCATTTTGCTACTCATACAGGAGATAAACCATTTTCTTGTCACATATGTAATAAACGATTCACTCAGAAAAGCAGTTTACAAACTCATTCCTTAATCCATGAAGGCAAAAAACCACACGTCTGTGAGATATGTTACAAAAGTTTTACTGATAAAAGTACATGGCGAAAGCATTGTCTCATTCATTCTGGTGTTAAACCTCATATTTGCAACATATGTCAAAGGGGCTTTGTCCAGAAGAGCACTCTATTGAAACATTATGTTGTTCATACTGGTGATAGGCCGCATGCGTGCGATGTATGTGACAAGAGGTTTTCTCAAAAATTTGCACTAAAATCTCATTTATTGACTCATTTTGGTCAAAAGACATTTCCATGTTCTATGTGCAATAAGAAGTTTGCCTCTTGGCACCTGCTGTGTAAACATGACAAAACACACAAAACAGAGCGTACACATGTTTGTAATATCTGTAATAAGGCTTTCAAATCGAAATATTCTATGGAAAAGCATTTTAAGAATCACAGCCTAGATCTCCGTTATCCATTCTGCAAAAAATGCAATTCTGATTCTTGTACTTGTGAGGCAAATTTATCTGTGTTTTTGTGTTCTTCTTGCAATCAGGAATACACTGATATGAAAAGTTTTCAAGATCATATTTCTTCGCATTCGGAAAATGTTATAAAAGTGCTAAACGAAGACGCAGAACCAAAACATTTTAAAAGTAAAAATGTTTTAAATAATGGAAAGCTACCTCATCAAAGACCCATTTGTCACAAATATTCATTGAATGATGTACCAGAGGAAAAAGATAACTCTGTACAAGAAAATATTCAGTGTGATGTGTGTGGTGAATTATTAAAAGATTATCAAAGTTTTGAAGAACATAAAAAATTTCATGTGGATGTTCTCTTTAACGAAATATCAGATTCACTTTATTGTGATATTTGCTCAAAGAGTTTTAATAGCAAACGAAGTTTAGACAAACATTTCCGTACTCATACTTTAGATAAATTAAATGTGTGTAAGGATTGTGGTGATAGTTTTGTGGAAGATTTTGATTTTGAAATTCATTGCATGATGCATAACAGATAAAATATAATTTTATCTGTGATTTTTTTATTAAATACAACCTCTTAATTATCTATTGACAGTTATCTTTTTTGGTGGTTTATATGTGGTACAGTTTTTAAAACAAACCTTCATTCATGGAGTGCTGCAATTATTGCAAATTTTAAATGCTATTTTTTTTCACAAAAAATTTTTCAACATGATATTCTAGTCGAAAGTATTTTGCCTGTGTAAATTGCTGAACTACGTAATTTCATTTTCATTCATAAAAGATACTGTTACACATTATTTTTGTTGAAGATTTTGTTATCTGTTGCATGATGTATAGGGCCATTCTCCTGTTATGCACGGGACATTTGCAGGACTTTGAAGCTTATAAAAATAGTAAAATAATGGGGTAATAAATTTTTTTTTTACAATTCAATTCAAAACAAGTCTGTTTCTTAAAGACTGCATAAAAAAACAAATAAAAAATTAAAGTTTAAATACTTGAAAAGGGATTTAATATAGTCGTTATGCACGGGACTCAGAAAAAAGATTAATTTCTACCCTGACTTCTATTTTTCNGTCTACTGGCTCTCATTATTTTTTTTATTTTGACTTCAGATTTTGTTTACAAATTTATTGCCTCACACATTATTTTATTTATTTTGACTTCAGATTTTATTTATAAAATTTATTGCCTTACACATTGTTATTTTATTTATTTTTTCATTTTTTAAATGTTTTGCTAAATGTGACTTCTGACATAGGCAATAAGTTACCTTTTTTCTGTGATTTGGTACTTCAAACTTATATGTATGTAATGCAACTTTTAAATATTATTTATATTTTATTTATAGAAATTCTTTCCTATAGTATTTTGTCATTATGAAATAGCTTCTTGAAATTATTTAGTCCATACGAGATCCGTACTGTTCCACATTATTTTGTTTTTACTTTTGTTAAATATTTTATGTTTATAGCATTATGCATTTACAAAAAAATTTAACTTTATTTTTTTACATTATTCTTTTTATTTCTTATAGTTTTATTTATAAATTACAATTTCAATATTTCTTTAAAGTTTGTGCACAACGAGTAAAGACATATAGTTCTGATTCATTTTGTAGTTTAAATAAAAACAAAGCTATTAAAAGGACTTTTTTTACCAAACATTTTATATTTTCGAAAAAAAAAGTTATCATTAATAATTATTGAATTTTAATGTTAAACTTTATCTTAATTACATTGTGTTGACATCTTTTTAAGCAGAAAAAAAAATTATAAATTCTGATAAATCAGTTAACAATTTTGAATTATTCTTACTCTCATATCATTACTGCTATTTTATCTATGATTTCCAATGATCTTTACTACTCTTAAGAACAATTTTTTATCTTTTTAGTTAATTCTACTGCTTTTTAATTTGTTATTTTGAAGAACATAATTACAGCTTAGGTTTCCTAATAGCATTAAAAAAAAAAATTTGCCCTCTCTCCCTGTGGCAGAATTTTTTTAAGCTTTATGCGACAAAACTCTCTAGCACTAATATCTTACTGCTAAGTACTTTGAATAATAACAAAGATGTAAGCTACTAATTTAAAGTAACAACAACAGAGTGTTTATAAAAATAAAAGAAAAACATAAATATTTTTATTGAGTTTGTAATATTTTTTTATTCTATTATTATTGGCAATATTCTTGCATTATGTTGGGAAGAAAAATGCACTAATTACTTTCTTTATCGCATTTTGTAAATTATCATCAAATTAAAAATCATGAAATCCGTCGTAGCAATTGCGGAAAACAGATGGACGGCGAAATTCCGCTAATCGGACTCTTCAAAAGGGGGTTACTCAAATGAGTGTTTCATTTCGAGATTTGATAGTTGCAATAAATAATATTTGATTTTAAAAACTGCATGGAAATCAAATGCAATAATTGCTATAAAAATAAACTGTAGAATTGTTGCTTTAAAAGTAAATACCTGAATGCAGGATTCGAATTTCCCATATCATTTGCAATATGTCGGGATAATTAAAAACCATGTTAAGATCAATAACTGCTAAAAATACAATCAAAATACTATATGGATTCATGATACTATTGGCATAAATTGAAAGCGGCAGAAAGTGATTATTTAAATGAGCAGTTCAAATTTTATGTGTAAATTTCTGCAGAAAAGAAAACAAAATTTTTCCTTCCCAAAAGAAAAATATTTCTGCAAGAACTTTTTAATGTTTCGCGATAATGTCACCGTGATTCTGCCACGGGGTCCTGTCCTTTACTTGTCTATTTTAACGAATACTTATATAATAATATGTACTTATGTATCAATGACCTGACATCTCACATAAATATTGCATTTTTTGTTTCATTAATACATTAACTAGCTTTATGTGTTTATTTCCATAGTCTATTTTATTGTTATTTTTCATTTAATACTGTATCTAGGCTTCTTGTGAAAGAAGAATTAGATGTGTTAAATATCTTTTTAGATGTTTTTAATTTTTATTTTAAAATTAGTTTTTCATATGTTATTTCAAGTTCCTGTTTGTGTTATGTTATTTCTGTTGTTATCTTGGAATTGAAAATTGTGCCAAATATTGAACAAAATATTTTAACAAAAATTTTTTTACTATTAGAAAAGTTAAATGGTTTTGATAGGAAAAAATATAAACAGGGTAATACTGCTCTAATTATTTATTAAATTTATTTATTACCATTATTGAATTATTAAAATAGATTAAATAAATCATGACAATAATAATAGAAAAATATACCTAATTTTTAATTACAATACTAAACAAGTTTAATTATTTACCAAAGTATATTGTAAATAAATTCATTTTTACTATAAATAGCGATACGAGTGAACATTCTACTTAAATGTTATCAATTATAATGACTGCATGTGCCACATTTTATCTATATTTACATGATGTCAGAAATATCATTGGAATGATAATATATAAAGATGTAAATAAAAAGATAAAAACCAAAAACAATCAAAAAAGAAATTCTTAAGATATGTATGTTAGCAAAAACAGCACTTCATCAGGAGACACATTGTCTGCTAACATCTGCTGCAGCATCCCCTGATGTAGTACTGTTTTTCCTGACATACATATCTTTAGCATTTCTTTTTTACTTGTTTTTGGTTTCTAACTTTTTATTTAAGTTGTTTAAATAAAACAAATTTGGTTTTAGCATTTTTCCATTTTGACCTATTACTTTAAAGTTTTTTTCTTAATTTGCTTAAATCAATTTCATACTTTGATTAAATATATAAGGATGTTTTATATGTTTTTGAATATAATAATTATTACGTTCTAAATATCAAATTGCTACAATTGTTACATTCTGTTGTTGCTGTTATACTTAGAATAAATATGTGTTGTTCTTCACCCTGTTTAATTTGCCAACTTTATTCCGTTATTTTTTCTTTAACTTTTAAGTACTATGTAAAAATTTTATTTGTTTAGTTTTTAATCTTTAAATTGTTTAAGTTTACCTGCCAGTAAATACAGGGTCATATAAAAGGAAGGGTGTAATTTTATTAATTTTCATTTTATGAAGGGAGTAATTTTATTAATTTTCATTTTATGAAAGGTGTAATTTTATTAATTTTCATTTCATTTTATGAACGTAAACAATTTATAAAAATGAAGTTTTAAAATTTTTGAACACAAGTTTTAAATGTACAATGTGTCTTCCCTTTGCTAAATGGCAACCATCTAACCAAACTTGTCCCATGCACAAAGTAACCCCTACCTTTACCGAGTGTAACCATCGATAAATTGTTGGTAAACAGAACTTTGAAACTTCCTGGTTATTTGGTTTGTAAGCTTTTTAAATTTTATGGATTTCAAATGAATTAAATCAGGCCTAAATCTTTTTTTAGACCGTTTTAAATATTGATCAAAGAACTATATCTCCCATTAGCTATGAACTGGATTGATTGAAGAGTCTGCTAAATGGTTTCTTAAAATTTAAAAGACAAAGCACTGAAGGAGCTGCACATTTGTGACACCAAATTCTAGTGTATATTATTCGGTAGGTAAAAGACACGTACTAATTGATTGATGAATGGCAACTCACGAGTAATTAAAGGACTGTTTCAAGAAAGGTTTGCACAGAAATATAGGCTTATGTCCACATTTGGAGTGTTTGCTTTGCATTAGTTGAGGTTTCCATCTACGGGATCTTATGTTATTCTCGGTCCTTTTAATGTCCTTTATTTTTAAAAATTAGTACCAATATTATTTATCACATATTTATGGGTGCTACTAATTTACACTGTAAGAAACCCACAAAGATATTGTAAAGTTTTTATTTACCATCGTATTAAATATTGCAATTATATAATGTCATTTCTGTAATTGATTTTTTTAAGTCACAGTAAAAATTAATGAATTAGATCTCAAAGCTATGTATATCAGAGTATGAAATTTCAATCTAAAAGTACTAGCTTGATTTACTCGCCTCTATTTTCACGAAAAATATGAAAATTTTTTAAATTGTACCTTTTTATAGATAAAGATTGACATTGTCGATAACTATTCTCACCACATAGAGGACCAGGACGTGATGTAAACATGCCTACGAGGACAGAAACTCCCACTTTGATATGAACGCGCCTATCTTGACAGTAACGCCCACTTCGAGCCACATTGAACATTACTTGCTACTTGTGAGTGAGTCATGACTCAGACTCAATCACACACAACGTATAACGTATACACTCGACTGCTAATGGCAACACACGAGTAGACCTTGAACTTAGTACAGCTCTCACGTTAAGCACTAAAAAAGTATGGTGAACTTAATACAGCTCTCCCGGCTTCTCACAAAACAGCAATGAATCAACTAGTAGTATCCGTTCATCGAATTCTATTACAGATATAATTCTGGTGGGGGAGTATATTGTAATGTATCTATCACTACAAAAATATAATTCCAATTCACTAGTAATATAAGACATGTTAACTCGATTCTATGGTGGGGTACCTTTTCATAGATAATTGTCGATAACTATTCTCCCCACACTAAGTATGAAATATTGCATGAACTAATTACCCCTAAAGTTAAATTCTTGAGAAATTTGGAAAAAAGATTAAAAACTGAAAATGGCTCTTCCATTATTATAGGGTAGTGTATATGTAATAAAGGTCATTGTATTCAGTAATTTTATTGTTCTTTAAATGTTTAATCGCGTAATTGAGATTAACAACAAAACTTTTGTTACTCAGGGCTGATTGTGCTCCGGAAAAAATCCGGATTTCCGGATTTTTCGCTGACAGTGATCCGGAAGTTTCCGGAGATCGAAGGTCCAGACGTTTCAAANCAGCAGAACGTAATGTAATTTCAAGTTGAACACTCAAAACAATTCTTAATTTAAAGAGAGAATAATATTCTGAAATGCATGCATAAGGAGAAAATGATTTTTGAATGTTCAAAATTTTTTTATTCTATATTTTCTCAAAAATGGTCTTACATTATTTTATTTCGTAGCTTTTTGTTTCGACAGATAATCAAGAGTTTATTTTCTGTATTTTCAAATGTTAAGATAAACTTATATCCTATTTTAAAATTTATCCTGCTTCTTTTTCAGACGAGCTCTTCGAAGGGGATGTAGTGTAAAATACTTAATACCAGACTCTGTTCTCAAATACATTAAAGAGCATGAATTATTTTCTTCTATTAAGTAAGTAGAAACTTTTTATAATGTATGTTTTTACAAATAGTACATAATGCAAATTGTATATAATACATCTTTACGGATAATTTTTAGCAAACATTTTTATTACTAGTAATTTTTTGCAAACTTTAGATCTTTCAAAATAAGTAGGAGATTTTAATTTAAAGACAAGAAAATGTAAAGGTTTTTATTTTTAAAACAATGCATTGCTATCATTTGATTTTACAAAATTGCATTAATGATTACAAAACAAAATGGCATAAAGGAGTAGTATGTTTTTGGATTGCAATGATTTTGTTCTCAAGTTTAATTTTAAAAAGCATCTGATTTAATAAACCAGTGATTTTTTTGTGGGGGTCGCTGTATTTGAATTTCTTTATGTATAAATAACAACTTTTAAAAGATAACAGTAGAAGATGTTATAAAAGAAGTTTTTATATGCAAATTCATTAAAATAATTGGATCTTAAAGTATAAAGAGTGTTATGTAATAAATTTTTTTCCTGTTTTTAATTTAATTCTCAAATATAATGCATATATTTTTCTTTCTTTTTTTTTTATTTTAGGATATAAAACATATTTTTCAAACTTTAATGAACGTAGAACAAGTATTACATTGCTTTATATTTTTAGAAACGACTCATAATAATTCTAAAGAGTAAAACATTGTTTTAGTTCAATATTTTTACTTCAATTTAAGTCATGTAATAAGGCATTTTTAGCGCAATTTTCGCATTTTAAGGGCATTTTTTGCACTTTCAAGGGCATTTTTTGCACTTTTTTAGGCTATCAAAATCCGGGCTCTAATTATCAGTTATAATGATTTAGTTTTTTTTTTTTTTTTTTTTTTNCTATGGATGATACAACCATAGATGAACTACAAATTAAAAGAGAAATACCCTCCAAAAATTCCCTATTCGTCATGAAGTGTTCATGTTTCAGAACTAATCATCCATACAGTCCTTTATAAAAAGTTCAAATACTGTGAAAATCAAGATTTAAAGGTTTCTTGAGTCATTCTTTTTTTAAAAAAGGAAGAAAAAAAATTAGTTGTTTTATTTCTTACTATACAATATATTTTAGGCATTATACGAATATTTTATGGAGTACATGTGCAGGAAAACTCTAAGCAATTTACTGTAAGTTGAAGTACAGTTCTCAGGTAACGAAACTACGCAAATATCCACAAATTGTTAAACTGATATCATGTGAAAACCATCTTAAGTATACACATACATATATATATATATATGTACCACAGTGGACTGATAGTAAAAACACAGCTCCCAGTAGAACACCGAAGTCAAGCATTACTGGCTGCGGTCAGTAAGCGGGTGGGTGACCGCTTTGATCAGCCTGCGTAGAGATTGGGTGTGCATGGTATCGGTTCAGGTTGAATTGTTCCGTCGTAAAGTACTCAATTTCCCTCGATTGTCACAATTTTGATCCTCTGCAGAGGATCAAAATCTAACAAATTGAAATATCATAAAACTTATTTAGTTTTGAAAAAAATTATTTGAAATGGAAGTTCATTATTTTTATTTCATCGGGATTGGGAAAAAAATGGGTTTTTATGTATTTAAATATTCATATTGTGTTAAAATAAACAATTTATAATTAATCGATTGTAAAATTGCGGAATGATAAACATTTTAAAGTATGACTTATCATTGGAAATAATAACTAATTTTAAAGTTGTATATTTTGAAAACTGTTGTTTGTATTTATTTAAAATTTTATATTTTGATATACGAAATTACTTTATTTAATATAAATTACTTAAAAATTAATTTATATTACAATTAAAGAATTTTATCAATTGCTCAGTTAGTTTTTTTACTAAATCAGCTGCCACTGAAATAGAGAATATAATATTTTTGTCTTTATGAAACCTTTGCTCACCTGAAAATCCTGTCCCAATTATTATGTTTTCACTTCCAGGCACTCTATCAATTAGAAAAATTTCATCCGGTGTCATCTACAAAGAGAAAAAAGTATTTTAGCTCTCATTTCGAAGATTTAAACCATAAACTATTGAAAAAGTGCTTACTCGTTAAATCTATTATGAAAATTTAGCAGCTGTTTAAAATAAAATTTTAGATACGAAATCAATTAAATGCGAACTTATACAAAAGTAAAAACTTGAAAATATCTTAATAATAAATTACTAGAGTTAAGTTAAATAATAAAGCTAATACACATTGTACAATAATAAGCAGCTTTAATATAGGTTTAAATGTAATTAGTAACTTAGCTAGAGCTTCATTAATAAATGAAATTTTAAATAAAATGAACTGAAGCAGAAAAGCTCCATAACTCTGTCATATCTCGTGTTGTATCATCGTGTTGCTCTTCTCAAATTAGTGCTATCTGTTCCTTCATTTGATCAGATTTTATAAGCCGTTATTTGAAAAGAGCACGCAAGGCTGCATATATAAGTGAACAAATAAATCTAGTTAAAATATGAGAACATTACTATGAAATATTTTCAACTTGATTTAAACCAATTTAAAATGCTTCTTTCTCTTCTACCAGTATTGCTCGAATTAGGTTTGTGTATGGTAAGGTGTGCAAAAGATATTTGTGAAACCAGAGATATCTGTCTGGAGCATCTCGGAATATAGTACAGTGTTCCCATCATTAATTGCTACGCTTTGGTTCAAAATTTGGAAGAAACAATCTAGAATGCCGAGTATCTACTGAATAAAATCTACTATTAAGTATGCTGCAAATCTATATAGAAAATGTTCCGTATACACCACCCTTAATACATATGCTTAGCAAAATTGAAGTAAAAAAAAACACGCAAATCAGGATTCTCTGTTAATGTTGTAAGCAAGGAGAAATTACCTGATCAAAACCTGACGAACGAACTGTTGAAAAAGGTGGGATTAAAGACCTCTAAAGCAGTTTGAGTGCCTTGAAATGAATTCTAAGGATCACATTTCACTTTATCTCGTTTTCCTCTGGCAATCAAACAGATTTTGATGTTTTTAATTCTTTTTTCATTGGTTTATGATTCACCAGTGTTTTGATAAAGTTTTGGTTTTTTCCTCGATTAAATATTAAATTGCGTCTCTCAACTTGTTAATATTAGATTAATTATTTTCCAAAAGTATTCTTATATAATATATATTATTTTTTAACCGTTGTTAAACTGCCGACCCAATTTTGAGCTTATGACTACCAATGTCCAACTCCGTGCTTTTTAATTTTGAACCCAATCTAAGAGACAAGGGAACTCCTGGATCTTGGGAGAAATTTCCTTCGTAGAGTACTTTTCAATGAAACCAACCCGCATTTGTGCTACATGGTGAGGAAAACCACGATAACTCCCACAGTTAGCTTTACAGCAAGGTGACTTTAACCCATGATCCATCTACCACTGAGGATATTTCACTTCTGTACTGTAGTCTATGCGAACCGCTCACAAAATTTGAATCAACCTGCCATCGGTAGGATTCGAACCCGGTCAACTCATTAGGAAGATAGCACACCATCCCCTGGGCCACCATAGCCCTATATAATGTATTAAGAGTGATTTCTGAGGATCAGCCTAGATGTTTAAAGTTACATTTTAGAATGTTGTATATCTCCAAACACATATATGTTATAAATCGCTGGTAATAAAAAATAAGCACAAATAAAAGGAAACAAAAATTATTTGGTTCAGAGAGTAATCATTCTTTTGATAATAATTACTTACAGTGTACATGCATGTTTCTACAATTGCCGGTTCTTTTTCCAATAAGGGAAAGTGTTCAGCTATGTAATCCTTCAGAATTCTTTCATTCTTCATATTGAAATCTACTCGGTCTCGTCTGTCTGGGTCACAAGGAGTCCCTTTGCCGTGGATACACACATGTAAGAAAAGCAAGCAAACACATACATCTCAATTATAATTTTACTGGAAGAGGCAGCAATTATTATTATTAATTCTAAAGAAGATTAAATATAAATGGAAGAGATCAGTACTTTAACTAGTCCTGGATATTCCAAACTTGGCAATGCGTACACGTTAGGGTATTCAAGATCAATGAAAGCTGGAAAACCGGAGTCGATGCTATATGCTCCCAACTCTTTTTCCTTCCAGTAGTAAACTCTAATTAAGTGGGCCTAAAATGTAGAAAACAAAATTTTTGGTTTCTGACTAATCTAAGAAATTTATTTTAGATTTGTCGGAATTTATTTGTTGAATAATAAGATTATTCGTGAACTTATTCTATTGGAACAGTTTTGCTCATTGTCCTATATTTTTTAATAAAAATTAATTCTTACAATTTTAGTATTATTGGGTATAATAGTTAAAAAGAAAATGCAGTAAGTGGGGAGGTTGCACAGAAAGCGCACAAAGTAGTACTTGCAACTCAATTCAAACAATGACCCCTTTAATTTTCTTTTTTTATTCTTATTTATTTATTGCATTTAACAAAGTTTTGAGGCTAGAGAATCAATCAACAGAATTGTGCCTTTCAAAAACGGGAAAGAAACAAGGTGTCATTTTATCAGATTAGGAAAAATAGTGATTTGCAACTTTTTGAGCTCCTATAGGTCTTTTCTCCAAATTGTAAAGTAATAAAATGAGGTTACTTTAAGAGAGTAATTTAACTCTATATATCAGTGTTTAGATGTTTCAAATATTGTTTAAATTGATGAAAACTAATTTAGATGATACTAAATACTTATTTAAACTTGAATTACGCAACAAAAAACTGTAATAATACAACTAAAATACTATATAACACTACTAAAAATACTTTAAAAAATACTCATTTTCATTAATTTTAACAGAAATTTAGATTTTGATCATTTTTATTGAGTTTCAAAATTTTAAATTTTTTTGAATAAAACATAAAATTTTCCCAGTGGATTTTTTTTTTAGAAATTTTCTAATTGTTTTCATGACGTTTGAATTAATTGATAAAAATTTAATTTGGAGATTTTGCTTCGGATATTTATGAGTTAATATCACGATAGTGGAATACGATCTAAAGGCCTGTTTACACTGTCCAAGTTTTTGAATCCGAGAAATTGGTAGAATTTCTCTGTCCAAGAAATTGGATGATTCGTCGACACTTTCCAAGTTCTTGAATGTCACTGATTGGTCAGAAGAAAAACTTGCGCATTGTTTATATTTAACATTATAAAGTCATACCTACATGACTTTAAAAATACTGAATAAATTGAAATAAAATCACAATAACAAAAATAGACCGTAACAGATTAACTTATTCTCAGTAAAATATATGAAAACATACAACAAAATGACAAAATCTGATGTCTGCTTGTTGATGTCGCAAAACTTAAGAAGCTGATTGGTTAAGGGAGGAGAAACTTGGATAGAAAGTAGAACATGCTCTGCTACTATTGTCCAAGAACTTGGACCACGTACTTGGATGATTGTTTACACGATCCAAGCTCAAAGCAAAACAAGTTTCCATCAATATCAATCAATCTCTGTCAGAGAGGATAGTCTAAACAGGCCTTAACTCAAGTTGTTAAAAAAAAAATCATAAAATTAAAAATGATGCAATAAACCAAACGGTGCTAGAATTTATGTCTTACTTCGGAACATAAGAGGAAACAAAGAAACCCTCTCTCTCTCTTACAGACACACACAATCACACAAAAAAAAGGGTTTAAATTCAAAAAATAAATTTGCAATATTCAGCAGAAAAATGAGAAGTATGTTTGATTTTTAATAAATTATTAACTTGCATCCCTCAAATTTGTTAGTAAACATAATTGTAAGAATACATACTAACTTTAATTCTTATATAAGTTTAGATTTTAAGAGTTTTGACAATTTTTATTGCGATTCAAATTTAAAAAAAATTTGTCTTAAACAAAATTTTAAAAAAAATTAAAGCAGGATTGTTCTTTTTTTTGTTAATTTCTTAATCAACTTCAATGCACTTTATTGTTACACGTAAAATGTCACGCAATAATTTCATCTTACACAGTATTCGTTAATATCAGTAAGCATGATAATTCAAGTTCAATACAAAAGAAATAGATAAATAAGATAAGCGATATGCCTAACTCAGAAACAAAACAGAAAACAAAGAAACGAAAGAAAAGAGACAACAACAAAAAATGAAATTTCGGAACCGTTTTTATCAAAATAAGTTCATCCCTTGAGGGGCTTAAAGCAAAAAATTCTAAAACGTTTTCAAAGGCGTGTAACTTAGTGTAATTGATTCCGAGACGTTTTCTTTAAACAGCTATATTTTTTACTCTACATTTTTCAAATATATGTCATCACGAAAATACTGTAGATGAAATAAAATATGAGTCACCGACGAATTAGATAAATTAAGTTTCAAATCGCGAATGTAGTAGGTCAACTTACTGCATTATAGCTTGTTCAAACTCATTCTTCTTACTTTTTATTATTGATTATTTTTCAGCAGCATGATATATATTTTCAGTGGATTCTCTCTTGCATGGAGCTTCATGGCAACGAGATGACGGACAAAATTGCAAAGGGGGACTGCGGCCATCTAATTGCTTCTTCTACTACTCTTACCAACCAACTAGGTGATTCTCTATCAAATATTCTCTATGAAAAAAGAAACCTCAGCTGAAGACTGGGTGGTTTATTCCCTAAAACCAGTGTTCCATCACTGGTAGAACGCCGGATTGGACTCTAAACCTCTGAGGACTATCTATGAGCTAAACCTCTGAAGACTCACTGTGGACTAAACCTCTGTGAACTCTATTGGACTCTGTGACTGAAGCACTCAGACTGCGTTCTCATGGCTAGCTTGTGGCCATATTAAGAATATCTCTTTCAAAGATGATGTGAAAATATTCACAATCTGCATGAAAAGAAGCGATCAAGAGGCTTCTGTCAAACACATTCTGGTATGTTTGGGCCTCAAGAAGTCAAGAAGAAGGAAATTCATTCGAGTTCCCCTCCTTGTCATTAACTTTCTTCGAGTCATGGTCTGACTTCTTCCAACTTTGGAGGATTAGAAACAACAACTTATTATTAATTTCTACGCTAATTTGTCGATTGATAAAGAAATATTAAAATAATAATAAAATATTATTTAAAAAAATTCGAAAAATAAAGCACAATTGATTTCAGTTAAGTTCTAGTTTTGTAATTTCATCATAAGTAGAAGTTATCATAAAGGTGAAAATAAACCACTTTCAATAGTTGAAATTGTACTCTAAATATTTTTGAAACATTAATGCTTAGCTGAGATTCAGTTACTGTAACTTAAAAATTTCAATTTTCTTTAAAATTTGTGCGAACTGTTTCGTCAGCACATTTTTACCTCTAAAGGCAAATCTGGAATTATTCTAGGCACTAGTAGTTTCTTCGTATAAGTACCAGCACATACAACTACAGACGGTACAACCACTACTCCTTTCGATGTTATGATTTCTACTTTGTCGTTTTGAGTTACAATTTCTGTTACTTGGCAATTGTTCCATATGTGACCTCCACTTTTTTTAATTAGCTCCTAAAGCATAAAACAATTCATATAATCAAAATATATATATAAAAGTATATTAAATTATAACATTTTTTAATTATTAGAAAATTAAAAAGTATATACGGATAAAACAGCAATTTCACACAAAAAACTTCTTTCATCTGAGATTTCTTTTAATCAATAACAGTTTGAAAAATATTGTCCCCTCGTAATTTTTGGTTTATTCTTACCCTCTATTCTAATTCTGTGAATTCAATAATTTAATTGAAATTCGATATATAGTCGCAAAAACGAATCAAGATAAGTTATTTTAAGTTCCGGACTTAGAAACTAAAATTTACAATAGTAAACATTTACAGCGCATAATATAAATTTATTGTTGGTGAAAAAATTATTTTAAAGAAAAAATTTTCAAACTTTAGATTTAGTTTAAATTTTGTTTCCATAAGCATTCATACTCTCTGTTACTACAGGAAGGCCTGACTGCAAAATTACCGGAAGTGAAGCACATATGTGTGAAACGTCAGAACAGCGTGCAAAAGGATGAAATAAGCATCCTCGCATTTTGGTGAATTTGCGCTATCAAGTTCTGAGCCAGCTTAAACTGGGTGCGACATACCTGCAAAAACTTGCAGGTGTGTCACAGCTGGTGGTTATGAAATCCAGAGGTACAGTTTAACGGTATGTTATTAAATTATCCTTTTCATGATTTCCCTAGGAGGTGATTACTCTTTTGTCCAATGAGCTTATTACCTCTTGCAGCTGTGAACATTATATTTGTAACATCTTGTGTTTGTAAAATACTAAACATATGAAAAACACTCTGTTACGCTGCCTCTGGGACTATAAAGATAGCAGAAGGGTGGCCTTAGTTACTGGCCAATTGCCAGTGTATTTTATTTAATAATTTTATAACCGTCGTTGAACAGCCGACCCAATTTTTTGGTTTACGACTACTGATGTTCAACTACGTAGCCTTATGATTTTGAACTCAATCCAGAAGTCAAGAGAACTCCTGGGTCAAGTATTAAGGCGAAATTCGAATTCATGGGGGACTTTTTGATGGTACTTACTCGAATTTGCATTACATAAAGAGGAAGACCTCGAGAGCCTCCCACGGTTAGCCTGACGGCAAGGGGACTCTAACCCATGATCCGTCTACCACTGAGGATATTTCACGTCAGCGCTGTGGTCGGTGCAAGTTGGATTTGGAATTCGTATCTACCAGCTACTTCTGGGATTCGAACCCAGTTCACCTCTTTGGAAGGCGAACACTCTGTTCTCTGAGCCATCGCGGCTCAATAGCCAGCGTAAGAAAAACAATTGGAAATACATTAAATGTATTATATTCCTCTTTTGGATTTGTATAGAAAGAAAGCCTGACTGAGATTTCTGTAAGCATGATAAAAGTAAATTGTAAACCTACCTGTACAGTTAACACAGACTTATGAGCATGAAGTGTACCACCAGTTTTATCAAAGAAAATAGCGTGAGGTTTCTTTTTGTAATACAGTTGTCTCCCAAACAGCTCCTTCTTTGTCTCTTGTAAGTCCAACTGACCCGGACTGTAAGTTTCCATATTAGCTATGCAACTTCGATAGACATGGTCTTCTTCTGGAGTCTTTATGACACTCAAGATTCCCATTGTCCTATTAAATTAGAGTCTTTGTTACCGAAAATTAATAATATTATTCTTCAATTTTGTTTTTTTCGTTTTTGATCCCCTTTGGTGGTCCGCTAATTCATCTTTCAAACGTATAGTTTGCAAAGAAAAAAAAACAGAGCACCCTTATAACTTCCAATTACTTACTTACTGGTCGGCTCACCACGTTATTAAAAGTTCTTAAATTTCAATGGTTCAAGTGTTAATTTGAGCAGGCTGTAGTTTCAGTTACGAAACCTGGCAAAGTAATTTATTTTCATTACATAAAAATACCCGTTTTTATACCATACCGTTAATACAATATTTTCCAGTTGGTTGCTAACCCTCCCACTTATTTTGAGGGTAAAAATTCCAAAAGTAGTGAGACTTTTGAATTTTTTACTTTTAAAACAAGGGGATGGGGGTTTGCGACAAACTGAAAAATATGGTCCAGATAAGTACAGGTAGGTAAGTGAATCCGGTTCTTTTATGTTAATTATACTTTTTAAGCATTTCACCATGCCCTTGAAACTATTTCAGGGAATCAAAAAATGCTTGCTTATAACTACTTATCCAAAAACAATTTCATTCAAAATATAGTTTTTTTTTACGATTAATTATTAAATTTTTATCTTTAATTTTTTAATGATTGAAAAAAAAATTTCAGGTTAAAATATTTTTGCTTCTAATTTTAAATGATAAAATCTAAAACTTGAGGGGATCAGTCAAAAAGCTCTTGGAGAAATGATTTTTTTTTTTTTTTNTTTTTTTTTTTTTTTTTTTTTTTTTTTTTTTTTTTTTTTTTTTTGAAATTCTGTTATTCTGACACTACTCAACTGATTCTCCTCAAATATTGTACTTTATCATCTAAATTTAAATTCTTACAAAAGATGTAAAAGTTTGCATACAATTTTTTTATAGATTGCAATTCAAATTTTTTCGATCATTAATAAATTGAATAATAGAAAATAATCAATAATCGTAAAAATTATATTTTGTATTAACTAATTTTTAGTTTAATTAGTTTTATAAATTTATGAAAACATGTTATATTTGCTTAATAAGTTCCGGATATACTGGGAAATATGCAAAATGTAATTTTAAAATTAAGGGGACCCAACGTTTGAACGCTTTCGTGCTTAAACAATTTCGATCATATTTTACAGATGGCGGCAATCCCGCTTCTTCCTTTTATCGTTGATCCGTTGAAAAATTAAAATATTATCCTAAAAATTGATATAAAATCTGTAAAAAAAATTCTCCAATTAATAAATTTGCTTCGACACATCATATTTCATTTCGTAGCTGTAAGTACCAGAGTTTGACCATTAATTCACACTCCAATAAACAAAAAGTAGGTTTATTTCATTCCTTAATTTGTATGCAGACATCATTCCTTTATATTAATACAGATGTCATTCATTTATGTTAATGCAGATATATTTCCTTAATTTAACCTTCCATTATTTTCACGTTTAAGGGATTATAGATTTATAGGAAGTAAATACGAAAAATAAATCTCATCAAAATTGAAACCAGTTGCTCTTTATTTAATTCATCATCGATAATGAAATTCTCGAACAATTACGAGTTTTAATGCAATTTGGACTCAATTTTGAACTAATAAATATGCTTCTCTTCACTAATATTATGGAAAAATTTAATTTCTGCCGAATGTGCTAGAAAAATTATTCTTTTGTTATTCATGAAAATTACTATAAGCAAAATGACGAGAAATTCTTTTTTGATGTACGGTTTTGTTTGAAGAAGCTTGGAAGAAAGTCCCTCTAAATTCTGGACATTTAAAAAACCAGTGGGATCCCGAGTTAAAAAAGGACCACCAACTAGGTGGTTGAATGACACCAAAAAAATTAAATATTAGAGATCAAATTAATTAATTAATTTCATTTCATTTTAAAGATTAGATCAATTAATTATATTTAATTTAATATTAGAGATTAGATTAATTAATTTAATTTAATTAAATATTAGAGATTAATTAATTAATTAATTAAATTTAATAAATTATTAGAGATTAGATTAATTAATTAATTTAATTTAATTAAATATTAGAGATTAATTAATTAATTAGTTTAATTAAATTAAATAATAGAGATTAGATTAATTAATTAATAAAATTTAATTAAATATTAGAGAGGTGTCGCTGTAGATTGAGCTGCTTGTTGTTGAGATAGTCAAGATCTGTCAAAAGCTGTACTTGTGAATAAGGAGAAATTATTGATAAATTTTTGAAACCCCATTGAGATTTTTAATGAGAGGATACCATGGAGGATGGATGAGGAGACCATCATGCTGAATTTTATTGATATTTGATTTTGCATTGCTATTTGATTTTTAATAACGCTAGCAACAGTCCGACTAATTTAAAAGAGATGACCGTTTGTATTTTCCGAATGGACATTTAGTAAAGATCATCTGATCGAATATTGCTCTAATTCAAAATCAACACTACTAGACCTACTCCATGAGCTTTTCTCCTGATTCTTGTTCAACTTTTCGCCAGGTATCGCAGGCATATGGCATCATTTCTGCAAAGAAGTCCTCTTCATAACTGGATCGAATGAGACGTGTGGCTCCATGAGAACTTCCACGAGTGTGCGGCTGGGCAAACTAAAAGTAGAAAATTTGACAGATATGATACGGAGAAGCAGATCTTTCTATAACTAAAACTCACATCTTTTTACTACTATTAGTGATGCATACACCCTGCTGTCCTAAATGATTTATACATTTTAATGTCACTGTTTATTCACAAGTATGCATCTTACAAGGACGGGCTGTAGATGGAAAGATGCATACATTTACCACATTTCTGGTACAGTCTACATGTCTGCACTCTTGGCCAGCCGATGCACATTCCAATGATAAACTTGTTTCGTGGATACGTTCAATATCATGGTTCTATCAATGTCCGTGTCAAAAACAGCAATGTGTTCCAGCAGTATTGATGGCATATAAAGTTGAGAAGAAAAATTTTATGCATCCCACGGCCAACAACACGTCAGGAAAGCTACATTGCTACTGTGTTGAGTATTGATATAAATATGCTACAAATGCTCATACGATTGTATTTCATATGTATAAGCTCATACTTATGAAAACGGGACTAGTTTACCATTGTGAAGTATTCGCACTGGCCAAGAGTGATCATTAGTAATAGCAGGAACTAAAGACCTTAATGAGTGTGTATCTTTTCTGTATACCCATTTTTTTGTACATCGTATACTTGTAAAGAAACAGTCCTTTAAAATTGGATGAATTATTTAGATTAACTCTGTATAATAAATTGCTTAAATTTATATTAATTAGTGTTCTAAACTTTGAAATGTCCAATTCTAAGCTGTAACGCGTATGCATACTAGTTAGAAGTGATATCGGAATTTTTATATAGCTATATTATAACGTCAGAAGGATATTTCTCGTCTTCTTTAAGATATTCTATGGATCTCTAAACAGATAGAGTATCGCCTTCTAGAAATCTTCTTCACGATATTTTTATTTGTATTATCTTCATATCGGTCACTATTTTTATTACATGTCTGCACTCGTATATATATNTTATTTAAAAAGCTGTATATATATATATATATATGTATATATATATATAAATAATGGTCCCAATACAATAATGGAAATACAATAATGGATATATACAAATAATGGAAATATGGTCCCAATAGTTAGGTAAGGAAAGCACTCCAAAGTTTTGACCCCTTAATGTTCATTTTACTTTTTGCGTAGTTTGTTATATCTCGACTCGTTCATCATAACTTCTGAAGCGAATTCAAAAATTTTTACACGCAATTATAATATTCGTTTATGCAAAGATAATTCCAGGCAAAGCACAACTTATAGTAAATATTTATTATTTTTCATTATTTTATTTCAGAATTGTAAAAAAAAAAGTTTGAATAATAAAGTATAAAATTTTTGCATCATTTTAAAGCATGTAATTTTACATGAGAAAAAACAAATTTAGAGCCAAATCTGTCGAATAGTTCCTGTGAAATCGAATTTTAAGTATATTACTTTTTTTTTTTAATTCAATTTCTCAGGAATTATTCTCCCGATTTCAAGCAGAGTTTGTATTTCGCCACGTAAAATTATATTCTTTAAGAGATTGCAAAAAATTGTATATCTCACAATTCAAAATTTTTTCCACCATTCTTCAATAAAATGATAAAAAATATTAAGTATTTACTAAAAGTTATTTTTCGTATGAAATTATCTTTTGATAAACGAATTTTGTAATAGTGTGTAGAAAATTTTTCAATTCACAGAAAAAGTTCTCGAGACATAGCGAAATACGCAAAAAGTAAAATTAGCATTTAGTGGTCCGAACTTTAAAGCGCTCTCCGATTAAACTATTGAGGATCATATTTCCCAAATTGTGGTTACCCCTTATATTTTGGGAGTCAAAAATCCAAATCCGTCGAAAAAAAGGCATGCTTATTCACAGAAAATACGTTTTTGTATCTGATTTCGTAACTTTCAATAGCGTCTACAATTAATTACCATATATTTGTGGTCACCCCCTCGAGCCATTAAGATTTAGTTCTAGAACGTGAATATCAAATCATTAAATCAAAAGTTATTAAAAAAATGTATTCTATATTTGTTTATTTAAATTAAATAAACAAATTTTAATTTTAATCTAAATTAAGTAAGACATTATTCAACTTCTTTAAATAAATTACCTTTCAATTAATTACTTTGTTTTTTTTATATAATTTTAAATTTATAATAGTTTTTAGAGTATATTTATCGTTTGAACTCTAGTAGAACTAATAATTAAAATATGGGTTCTAGAACTTTTAAAAAGCAAATATGTTACCTGTTCGATCAAAAGTACTCTTTTTCGCAACTTGCAGAGGTGATACGCCGTCCAGGATCCCACTATACCACCCCCAATAACGACATGATCATATTCCGACATGACGAATCTGTGCCCACTGCAAACGTAGGTTAAAACAAATACAAAGATCAGTATAATTCCAAATGAACAAGTTAGCGCTAATTTACGAATGGAAACCGTAGCAACTACCGTAGCAAAAAAAATATGAAAGATATGTCGTAAGAGAATTAAGTAATTTACAGACACTAAATTGGATGTAATGAGCGTTATCAGGAAACGTTGCAGGTTCAGATAAAACGCTATGACGAAAACATTAAAGGATATTGTCTGCATTTATCTAATTGTTTAGAAAAGTTTTGTTTCCATAGTAAGTCTGTTAGAGATAGAGTTGTTTAAATAAAATCTTTCGAGAATCCAATCGATTTTAGAGATTTTGACTAAGCATTTTTCAAAGCACGCGTTCAATGTGTGCATTTCAGAATAAAATAAAATTTTATATCTGGGGATAAATTTATCTTACAGACAAAACAAAAAAGTTCATCTTTGCAAATTTTTGAAAATGTGCAATCTTATAAAGATAAGTTGTCAGATAAGCTTGTGTTTGAGTAGTGATGATCTACGTTTTTTCCTAGTCGGAAATTTTTGCATCAAACTGTTTTCTTATTATGTTATTAGATGAGTACTTTACAAATTTCTGTATCTCCCATGACACTCTCAAGTTAATAGGTTCAAAGTTGAACTATAATATTGGCACTTTGAGCCACAATAAGGAGCACACACCATCCAGTCATGGTTAAGCACTTATTACCATTTTCCAGCATTCTGTCCTTTAACGACCATAGGAAAAAAAGCTATCTAGTTTTGACCCCGGTCAGACGAGATACCCCTCTCTCCAAACGTCCATACCTCAGTCAACGAGCCGTCTTTCACCACGTCAGGCACTTTGCTATGTATACGTTGCGTAGTCGACTTCCAGAATCAAACTCACAACCCCTAGATCTGCACCACTGGAATGAGAATGTCTCACCGGAGTACTCTTTGAGAAATCTTGCTGCAACCAAAAATTTAATATTAACTTAGCTTAAACTAAATATGCATTTTAAGGCACCGTTTCATAATTTTATTTTTAATTTCTTATTACTAATTTTTTAGTAATTTGATTTTGTGCAATCTTTGTCCCACGATGATGGTGATGTCACTGCGACAATTGAATGTCTTCTTGTGGTCTCAGGTTGGTGTATGGGTGACGTCCAAATTGGACATCACCAAAAGTGGACATAGTAGCAAGGCTATGGAGTCGGTAGAAAAAATGACCAACTCCGACTGCTGGAATTTTAAAATAAAAAACTCCAACTCCCTCATATATATGTAAACATATGCACATGTGTTACAACTTATTATTTTTATATATGAAAGGAGTAATGCTACAAAAACAATTGATAGCATATCAGATCATAGAAACTCAGTCGCAATTTCTGTTGTCTGACTGTCCTGATTAGAATACTCCAAATGTTCTGAGAATAATTCCATTCTTAGAAAAAGTTCGTAGATGGCTTTCTTTGCCTTTTTAATTTGTTCGTCATCCAACAAAATTCGGTGTTTTAGATCTACGTGTACCCAGCAAGATCTCATTGTCTTGCAAACTAGTTTCTTTTATTTTTATTCGTTTATTAATATCGAAAATAAAATAGAAAATAACTAAATAATTATTGATATATTATATAGTCTATAAATAAAATGAATAACTCAATTCTGCGTTTATCTTTGTTTCAATTTACTTTAATTTCATTTTAAATTCAAACCGTCAAACGAAAACAGGAGTAGGCGTGTTTGTCTCCATGACTCTGACTCCTTTTTCCCAAAACTCTGTATAACTCCAATTCCGACTCCATGACTTAAAATCCTACTCTACAGCTCTGTTTTTTTAAACCTACTCATCATTGTTGCGAAAGTAACATGTGAGTTCACAATTGAATCCAATTAACTCAATTATTGTTTCAATCTGGCAGCGGTGTTGTCTGAATCCACTTACAATGTAATTCTTAATGTTAAAAAAAGAGGAGAATACTTTTCAAAATGAAAAAATTTTATTTTCAGATTCACTTTATGAAACAAAATTGCCAAATACAGTTTGATATTCTTCTGAATGTTTATTTCAGTTGTCATCAAATCTGCTTAACCTGAAAGGAGCGAGATCCAGAAAAGTTTGCTGTCCAGTGGCCATTTCGCTTAAAAGTCTTGCTACAGCAGGAGAAGTTTTGAAACCTGTTCCTGTAAATGAAAAAAAGCAAAAGATTCGTTTTATATTTTATTTATTTTAAAAGGATTATTTAACAGAAATTTTATTTTATTGATGTAATGAAAGAAAACGCTTTAAGCTTTTTAATAAACTTAAAAGCTAGGTAACTATGCTAGAAAGCTAGGTAACTATGAATATCTAATATTTCCCATTAAAAAATTCGTGAGAAATTAATAATTTCACTAAAGAAAAAACTAAGTGGAAAATTTATTAAATTTTTTATAAGTTTTAAATTTTATCGAACCATTAACAACTATTTACGAAATATTTTTCGATTGAAATTCACTTTATTTGAAAATTTCTCAGAATAAATTATTGTTCCACACTTAGGATTATTTAACGGTTTTATTTAATTTTATTGATGTCTCGTGGAAAGATTTATCAAAATGGCGTGAATGAAGTTTCTTCGAATTTCTTCTCCCGAAAGTCCGGAGTTGAAAGATATAATTAGTACATAATGATTTATAAATTTGCTTTTTATAATGAATCCGCAACTGGAAATGTTTATCAAGCTGAAAGTGCTTATCTTAAAATATTTAAACAAATAATAAAAAAAACTAGTTGTAGTTCATTAGAATAAAAAAAATGTATGATGCAAAAGATTGATGATCAATTAGCATGCATTCATGGACAAAAAAATTAGCGCACCAAGAAGGAGTCGTCAAAATGAAACGAAATTTTACATAAGTGTAATGACTACTTTGATGTAAGTAAATGATTAGAAAATCAAAGATTATCGTTTTTCTTTGATTTTCTAATCATTTACTTATATCAAAGTAGTCATTACGTATGTAAAATTTCGTTTCATTTTGACGACTCCTTCTTGGTGCGCTTATTTTTTTCTCCATGAGTGTATTACAGTCAAATTGAGACACTGCATGGTTACCGCTTTTAAATGACTTAAGGAAGCTAAAATACTGGAGAAATTTTTCAGCGTAAATTCTGCTTCATCTCCATTGGTATATTAAAATTTAAAGTTTAAATAAAAGTGATTTCAGATAAACCTAAAATCAACCTTAAAGTTTTAAATGTTGCAAAATTGGCTTCAAAATATCAAATCGCAGACAAATTAGTGTAGGAGAACTTCTACTAAGTGAAATACAAAGTAATTTGTTTGTATTTTGATATTTTCAAAATATCAAAAAGCAGACAAATTAGTGCAGGAGAACTTCTGATAAGTGAAATACAAAGTAATTTGTTTGTATTTTCATATTTTCAAAATATCAAAAAACAGACAAATTAGTGCAGGAGAACTTCTGGTAAGTGAAATACAAAGTAATTTGTTTGTATTTTGATATTTTCAAAATATCAAAAAGCAGACAAATTAGTGAAGGAGAACTTCTGGTAAGTGAAATCCAAAGTAATCCTCTAATGATTTCTTTGTATTTTGATAGTTTATTTTCCGAATTTTCCTGTTTCACTTTAGGTATACCAAAACTCGCGTTTTTTATACTTTAAATTTTAAAATCACTTGTAGCGGTGAAAAAGAATTTGCCGTGTAGGGTTTCTCCCGTGGTATAGCGCCTTTTAAACTTACCGGAAAATCCTGATCCTATTATTATATTCTTGTGTCCAGGCACTCTATCAAGGAGAAAAACCTCATCTGGAGTCAGCTGTAAATCATATGCATTTTAAAAATCAACTCTATTTATCTATGAAACATTGTGCATTTCATTTATTTCACATTTTCTTAGAGAATTTACTGCATAATAAAAACTTCGTACATAATTTTTTTAATTAGATTTAGAATAGTGTAGTGAAGTTACTAGTATAGCATTATTAGTATAATAATATTATTTCCCTTTTGAATAAAAAAACATGCGTTTACAATTGTACTCTTCACGCTTTAAACTTAGGAAAAGAAAATGTTACTTAGTGAATGATGCTGAGCAATATATTGTTATAAAATTTGTTGGTTTGGTATTGTTTGAAGGAAATATGATATATTCAAAATAATGGAGCTAGTATGAGACACATGTTGAAAAACTTACAATTTTTTTAGTAATAAAACAGGATTTGAGCTTACTCAGTAAGAAATAAATTATACTATAAGCATTTATTCTTAACACAATGAGTATATAAGGGGGAAAAAATCTAAATGAAGCTAGCGAAAAAAGATGGTTCTTTGCAATCGTCGACTTGCTCTTGTCAATCATGTTTTTTTAGACAGATTGAATATCTATATCTATTATTGAGGATGAGAAAAAAACCGTAACCAGAAACTTTTTTTCTCTTATAATTTCCAAAAAATTACAAGGTTAGGTTTGTCCTAAAAAGAACTTCATTGGGACATTCAAAAACAATTTACATATCCGATTGATATTAGACATTAAAAGAAGGCTATTCCTATTTTCAAATAAAAGTTTCAGACGTCAAGAAAGGCTTATTCTAGAATGTTCTTTCAGGTCTTGTTGCAAAGGCTCGTTATTTTGACAACTGTCCCGAAGTGGTGTTCGTTTATGCGAGTCTTAAAGCGAATAAATAAGAGTTTGATGGGGCATTTTCAACATCTCCTAGAAGAACGACGACCTCCTCACAGATCAATTAGGAATCCGTCATAATGAACATAAACTGCGCAGTGGGGAATTATAAGAGAGACATTACAATGCTTAGGCTCCTAAAATGCGCAGTGGTGAGAAATACGATATTTGTCAGTACGTTCGGACTACTAAAGAATGTAGTATTTTGTTTGTGGTACTTGGTAACCAGTGCGGAGACCTGGTCTCTTCTAGGAGAAGTTGGCAAATCAGGATTGTCAGGAGCCTGGATCCAAATTGACACTTTTGAATTGACCAGGAAGCGAGTAGTGAGGTAAGTAAAGTCGAAAAGCGTGTCTTCGTTTTGCATACACTTTTCTCTTCTGCAGATTTTTCATTGATATATAAAATTGTTATGACGTAAATTGTACAAAAATAGAGAGAAATTTAGAAAAAACAGAGAAGCTACTCTGTTTTTTCTAAAAACAGAAATATGCATAACTATTTAACTACCTTTGATAGCGGCTGCTGTCAGAACTGTTTTGGTAAAATTTTGTCAAAACAAAAATTAAAAGATAATCGAAAAATCTTGATTAGGGAAAGGCTTTGTATTTTGCATGTATCTAAAGATACTGCCAAATAGAGTAATAATGCACCACCAATTTATTTATGAAAATTAAATAAAGAGGATAAATGCATCTTTACAATTGTCTCTTTCCGGAGCTACCCTTCCTACTGTTGAGTTTGATCGAGAGGAGATACCTAAAAAACTGCTTTTTGCCACCTGTAGAACATTATTATCATCAGATTTGGTTAGACAGTCCTGAGTAAACCAGTGCCTTTTCCTGAATTCTGCTCCATTGCATTACATTTTTGACACCTGCACCCTAGTTTCTTTCCTAGGTAACAAGGAAGTCAGTTTCCACCAACTTCATCCACCTCAATCTAGGTCTACACTTTTTTAACGGTTTTATGAAAAAGATTTTTTTTAATGTAGAATCATCATTCTAAATATATGAGCCACCCAATTTATCCGGTCCATTTTTATGAGCATAAAAACGTATATATGGATTTTATATAAGTCCAAGTTATGTCTTCTCCAAACATAGTCGATTTCTATCCCACCGACGAAAGCTCGAGAAACTCTTCACTCGGAACAGAACACTCGGTGAACAATTATCAACAAATTCAGCTGGAAAAGTTTTCACTGTGAAATTCCCGAATTCCATGCATAAATTTATAATAATCATTTTGCTCCAACGTGATTTACAGTTTTGCATGAGAAATGGAAACTAGTCTCACGAAAATACCGCCCATATGACCAAAAATGGCTGAACGGCCTCGCAGTCTAAAGCTATTTCTCAAACCTTTCACCGATCCCGAGCACGTTGTGTGTTATGCGCGAAGTGTGTTTCATAGTAATATCACTAACATTAATTTCTGGACTAATCTTGTGTATTAGTTCGGTAATAATGGAACACAGTGTATAATTTAGAATTCCAACAATATATGATGCTTCAATGTAATTTATTTACCGTATACATGCAGGTCTCCACAATAGCTGGTTCTGCTTCTAAAAGAGGTAAATGTTTAGTGACATGATCTTTCAAAATTTGTTCATACTCCACATATGATGCTGATTGGTCTCTTTTGTCTGGATCACACATAGGTCCTCCATGATAACACACCTGTAAAAATTTTAAGCTTCTTTTTTTTAAAAAAAAAAAAAAAAAAATGCTCACTCTTCCTGAGTTTTTAATAATGGCAAAAAAAACTGCTATAATCAAAAAATTTATTACTTTTGCCAGTCCAGGATATTCGATACTAGGTATAGTGTAGATATCTGCATCACCTCCAATGTCAATAACTACAGGGAAACCAGCTTTAGAACTATGAACTCCACCCTCTTTCTCCTTCCAATAATATGCTTTCACTAATATTGGCTGTAATGTAAAATAATTTTCATAGCTCTTCATGCAGTAAAAGATTAAACCAATGTAAAATACAATTCCAAAAATATGTGGAAGAAAGGAAAAAACATCACAAATTAGGGGTAATCATGAATAAGACTGAGTCATACTTTAATAAATATCAGCAAATCATATACCGGTTGTCTAAGAAATGACTAACGTTTTGGAAAATCAATTTGAAAAAACGTAAGGAAACTGAAATGTATGGTTCACTGCGTTCTGCTTGGGAAACCTGTTAATTTATTCTCACGAAGTTTCAGAATTAATTACAAAGTTCGTCAACAGATGACGCTATTGACAAATTTAACTTTCAAGTTGCATATCATTTTGAAATATTTGTATGAGTGTCTGTTATATTTTCCCTTAAACTGCTTTGTAGTTTATTCTTCTGCCAACGCCATCTGTTGATAAATTATAAACTTTATTTTTTTAACTAGGAGGAAATAAGTTCTTTAGTTTTTTACGAAGTAAGCAGCAAACCGTAAATTTCTATCGAGTTTCCTTTCTTTTTTTTAGTTTATTTTTTAAATAGCTGGTCCTTTTTGGGATACCCGGTGTGACGATATGCGTCGTCGTAATATTAAGTCATAATGCAGTAGCATAATATGCAACTACGTTTGGGAAGTTTTAACATGAATATATTAATATGACATTATACCATATTACCATAGTACCTAAAGTAAAATGCAGCTGTATTGAGCTTATATTGCAAAGTGTTTTTCATGAGTTCCTTTTACTATGTCGTGTTTTAATTTTCCAAATTGAATACTTCAGTATTTTTAAACATTCCAGATGCATAATTCAAATATAAATTTTGTAACATTTTAAATATTAAAGTAGATAGATAAAATACATCTATTTTAATTCTCAGTAACTGATTTATTACTTAAAATTTTTATTCTTCTCTATTTAATCATATTAGAGTAATCATATTAGAGTATTTATAACTATTAGTTTCAGATTTTCCCATACTTTAGACTAAACGCTTTATCGATAAAAAAATAAAATAAAATAAATAAAAATTTAATTAAAAAAATAAAAAGGTGAAAGGTTAAAAATATGCATTTACGTTATTTACAGAGAATGCATGTTGCATAATTAGGAAGGTTTTGTTACAGCAGGTAAATGTCGCAGTGCTTTAAATTTTTTATGTTAAAATAAAGATACCTTTAGGGGTAGATCAGGCATGAGGTTTGGAACGAGCAACTTCTTCGTCCATGCACCTACGCACACAATCACTGATGGAACTAAGAGACGTTGCTCAGAAGTATTGATTTCTATATGATTACCTTCTGGTACAATGTCCATCACTTCGCAATTGTGCCACAAATGCCCACCTTTTGCGATGAACAAATCCTAAAAGAAAGATAACGCAAGGTCAGATAAAATCAATTGAATTAAAATAATGTAGGTCGTGATTTAATAAAGTTCAAATTAAAACTTCTGCGAATCGTACATAAATAAGAGAATGTTTGCATTGAAATTTGCATTAGAGTTTCCATGTTGGAATTCTTTCAACTGATCAATTCTGTATGAATGCTACGAACAAATTCAGAAATATTGAGTTTGTTCAAATATATTATTGAAACATATTTTAGGTGATTCTGGATTAAAACAAAGTATCTTGGACTTAAAAATTATTGTACATGCAGTACGTATGGAGACGCTCTAGTGTACCCTCCATTCATACTAAAATATCACTTTAACTACCTTTTAAGTTTTTAATTTTGATGGTCACGTTTCAAAGAAAAAAAGGAGGTGTTGCCACGCAGTGGAGCTTTACCGTAACTACTGTTCATACTGTAATATGCTTTCAACTTCCATCAACTTTTTAACTTTGTAAGTCATGTTTCAATGTGAAAAAGTGGGGGCTATCGTATCGTGGCTCTTTATCGTAGCCACTATTCGTAATAAAATATACTTTCAACTATCTTCAAATTTTTTATTTTTACAGGTCACGTTTCAAAGAGAAAAAGTGGGTGTTTCCGTATAGTGGCTCTTTAACGTAGCCACAATTCATACTAAAATATGCTTTCAACTCTCTTCAAAGATTTTAATTTTGTAGGTCATTTTTCAATGAAGAAAGTGGGTGTTTTCGTATAGTGGCTCTTTAACGTAGCCACTATTCATGCTAAAATATGCTTTTAACTCTTATTATGTATTAATTAGAGTTAATTATTATGCCTTAATTATGTATTAATTATTACATTCATTCCAAAATATGCTTTCAACTTCTTTCAAAGTTTTTAATTTTGTAGGTCATTTTTCAATGAAGAAAGTCGGTGTTTCCGTATAGTGGCTATTTAACGTAGCCACTATTCATACTTTAATATGCTTTTAACTCTCTTCAAAGATTTTAAATTCTTAGGTCACGTTTCAATGAAAAAAGTTGGTGTTGCGGTATAATACACGTACAGAGGTGCTTTAACGCAGACACTATATACTAAAATATTGTTTCAACTCTTTTCAAAGTTTTTAATTTTGAATGCCACGTTTCAATGAAAAAAATCAGGTGTTTTGCTGTTGCCAAATATGTTTTATAGTGCAACTATACCCGTGACCACTGGGAACCGTCTTTAACACTTTTCTTGAACCCATGGTTTATAATACCTGTACACAAAGTTTTATTTCCTTCTCTTGAACGTAATATTAGCCGAGAAGTAATGTGTTGACAATGTTATTTATAATCATCCTTTATGGTCTGAATCTGAATTTCATAAAACCTTACCTAACTCCCGAACAGTTAGATTCTTTTCACATAAAAACCACTTTTATAGTGATTCAAAATCATGACATTCGTTAACACAGCTTTTTTACATTAGACTCGATTAACGCGAGGTGTCCAAATTATGCTTAGCTATTTAGATTATAAAATTTTAAGTCATTTTCAAAAAATAGTTAAAAGATATTAAAAGGATATTTTTTATTTAGTTTTGAAAAGAAAAATTTAATTTAAGTTGTATATAAATAGTATTCACTTTCGTAAAGCACATGTTCATAAAAGCTCCTAGATTAGCTTGTACTCAGGGGCCTCACCAGATTATCAGGGTCCATGGCCCATTTGATTTAAAAACTGCATCACGAGTTCCCAAAATTTATCTTTTAACATGAATCTGAGTTAAATTTTTTTAAATATTCCTTTTTCATCTATAGAAAAAACATTTTAAGCGTTTGGTTTAAATTGAAACCGTTGATATTTATTTAGTTTTGAAAAAAAATTTAATTTAAGTAGTTTGTAAATACTGCAGCACGAGTTACCAAAAAGAAAAATTATGAATTTGATTTAATTTTGAAATTGAAACCGTTGATATTTTTAAGTTTAATTCAAGAGTAGTTTTTAACAATGAATTATTTTCATGTATTCATTTTTTATCAATAAAAAAAGGTATCAAGCATTTGGTTCAAATGAAAAACGTTGATATTTTCAAGTTTAATTAGAGAGTAGTTTTTAGCAATGAATTATTTTTAAATATTTTTTTATCAAATGCATCTCAAAAGTTTGATTAAAAATGTTTATTTATTTATACTTAATATCCATTTATTACAGTAAAGTTTTTTTCTAAATATTCCTTTTTTTTAAGAATGAAAACTCATAGTAAGTTTTTTATTCTAAACAAAACCGTTGCTATTTTCAAGTTTCACTCAAAAGTAGCTTTTTGCAGGATTCAGAGGAAAAGTGATAATTTTTTTAATTATTGATTTCACTAATTTGTGTTCATTAAATATGTTAGTAAATATAGTAATAAGAAAACATTATCTTGTGATCATACACAAAAATAAGTTTCAATAGTCATTTCTCGTTGTGTCTCAAACTTTTATTAATTTTCTGATTTTTCATTTTCAATAAAAATTAGACAAAATTCTTTTTGGAAATTGAGTTTGTTTTGCAGCATTTAATATTTTTCTACAAAATATTATTGAAAAAAATACAACTTGTGCATTATGGGTTAAAAATTTTACACTGTTGATATGTATAAGGTTTTCCCAAATTAAAAGTGGACACGTGCGATTGCATCAAAATTACTACAGCAGCGCCACCGAACAGGAATATAAAGCATATGACGTTCAACAGTGTAAGTTGTTCGTGATAGAAAACATTGATCAAAAGTAAAGTCGTACTACACATGGTTGCGTCTAGAAGGAAATTGATTTCCTGCCCAAAGGGAGCACTATCGATTCAACACAATAATACAGTACTCTGTCGAAACTACGGAAAGCAATCATAAGTAAATGGCGCGGTCTGCTCACGCAAGAAACATCTCAGGCAAGTAACAATGCTCTCCCGTGTAACATAGACGACTTTACAAAATTTCCAATGAGATGAGTTGGAACACCCGTCGTACAGTTCAGATTTGTCTCTCTGTGACTTCCACATTTTTGGGCCACTTATAAAAGCATTACTGGGTGTATGTTTAAATTCAGATGCGGAAGTGAAGGAAGCTGTGCAAGACTTCATCCAGAATGAAGCAAAATCTTTCTACAGCAAAGGACTGCTACTTAAACGAAGGGGTCATCTGTGTTAAATCGCCCATGGCTATTTCCTGATTTCCCAAAAAGATTTTTTTTTCATTGACTTGTTCACTTTTCATTTGAAAAATCCTTATATAAATGCAAATTATAGTAATAAATGCAAATTATAATGTTTGATTTACCTGAATTGTCAAAACGCATTTATGTGCAAAAAGAACACCTCCACTCTTGTCATATAGAAGAGCGTGTGGTTTTTCACTGTAGTTCAAGACTCTATTAAACAAATCTGATTTTGTTTCAGACAAATCTAAATGCTCCGGGCTATAAGTCTGCATATTCTTTAGACAACTTTGATAAGCCTGTTCCTCTTCCGGAGTCTTGAACATGCACAAGATTCCAGTTGTCCTAAAAAATGAAATCCGATATTTCATTTTTCACAATATACCAAAGAAAATTGTCTTTAAAAATTTTGATAAGCATAAGTATATGTATGCAAACACTCTCTTAAAAGTTTAAGTTGAAACTTGTATATTTCAGAAGAATAAATAGCATTTTGCAATTTTTAATTGACATTTTCGAAACGTTGACGTTAGCAAAATGACGATTTTTTTCGAAAACAGAGTGGAAATTTGACTTGCTGTAAGACTATTTTTATTTATGTACGAGTTTTTTTTTTCGAACACAAATTTTTTCTATACACAAGTTTTTTTTTTCCAAAATTCCTATTTGTTCGAAAGTTAATGCAATTTTAAGTGCCATTGCAATTTTTTTTCTTTAATTAATGACTATTTGTCCTAGCTATAGCTCTGCCGCGTGCATGTGCACATGACAATTTATTTAATGTTGTACATAATCTGTTATTTTTTTTCAGGTACAGTTTTTTTTTCAAATTTAGGCAATCTTCCATTTTTTTACCACTATCATATCAGTAAAATTTTGCATAGTAAATGTATAGTAAAATTATAATAATTATATGTTTTATTAATAAAATGTTTTTGACTGGGGAAAAAATCGAATTTCAAATAAAATACTATGATAAGTGAGCTACTACGATAAGGGATGGAGAACAGAGCGAGCAATGCGCGCAGCTTTCTAATATTAATTTTAAGAAAATTAATTACATTTTTTAATGTTTTTTATTTTATCTCAAAAAACGACGATTGGACTGTATAAGGGTCAGGGAACTGGCCTTGCATCAGACAGATTCTGTGTTTGAATCCCGGACGTGGCATGGATGTTCTTCCATTCTCTGTACTATCTGTCCTTACTGTGGAAGCAACGCTGGCCCAACCTAATATGGTGCCCCTGAAAGAGTGGTCAACAAATCTGACTTGTAATTGCCTGAATTTACGAAATTTTCACGCGTGTAGGCATTTGAAATAAAAAATAAAAATAAATTTGTCTTAAAATATATATTTATTTTTATTTGGTCAAAAAAAGCAAATTCGCTCAGTTAAGTTTATAGTCAAACATTCTAGCACGTCTAACAAAGGAAAAATTATCGGTCTTTCGAGGAAATTTAGTCAAATAGTCCACTGTTCATAATATCATTTTATCAAATTCATCACCAGTAATAGACAACTGAGAAGATCTTGATAAGCTTCTTTGATTTTTACTGTCGAAACTATATTTTTTCCCTTTATTTTAAACTAGCCGCCTCTGTCCGCCACGCTAAAGGTTTTCAGAAA